ATTTTTTTTTTTTTTTTTTAGTAAAAAGCATGAGTACCTTTATTCAAATGAAGTCTTACATACAAATATATCATGTAAAGTAGTCCAAAGGACAGCTGCTCTGGTTGAAGCAGGCTTGTGTGCTTTGTCCCCTCACCTCCTAACCTCACAGGGCACCATTGCAAAACTCCTGTGAATCTGTACAACACTTCTGATAACCATTGGACTACAACATTCCTAATAATCCCAACTCCATTTTATTAGCTTTGTGGCCTTGGGCAAGCCATTTAACCTATCTGAGCCTTTATTTCCTCATCTGGAAAATGAGCAATATGACCCCTGTCTCCAGAAGCACCTAAAAAGGAAAATAACATGAAAATACCTGGCTCAATTCCTGGCATACAGCTGGTACTCAATAAATATAGTTGTTATCTTTCTAAGTTAATCAAAAGAGCACTTGGTGATGTGAGGCTGTCCAGCTGTGCCAAATAATACATTCCCTCTTATCTTACAAGTTCCTACTTGGCAATCAAAACCTTTCTTAGACATTTCCTGCTCCGACCACAAGTCTCCAAATAAATCTGATCACCTGTTCTTTCTACTATCTATTTCACGTTTCTATTATGGTATAAATCACTCTGTGTTAAAATTATCTGTCCATATGCCTGGGTTCCTACCAATCTGTGCTTTATAGAGAACTAACTTTAATCTTTAGCAATGGTACCTAATACACGTATTTCCTCAGTTATTTAATTGCCTTGATGGCAGTGGTAGGCCCTCCAGTATCTATTGGGTCTTCCTAGCATAGCTTCCTTCCTTTGGACAAAAAGGATTCCTAGGCAGGTCATGTTGTAAGTTATATGGAAATCTAAAGGCAAACAAAAATGACTTACAGGTGGGCTATTTACAGGTGGCAGCCTTTGCTTCCTTTTAATATAGAGTTCAAGGTTTTGGAGCAATGAGGTGGACTGCCTCATTTCATTCAGCATGCTTTCATTCATTCAATATTAAGGAAGCACCTACTGTGTGGGCCAGGCACTATGCCAGGTGTTCAGAAATGAAAAAATAATAAAACTAATAAATGATATTAATGTGTCTACTTTCCCAAATTACTTCATGGTCTTTCCTCTGTGAAGTATTTGAAATCTAGTATTCTATTGCCCTGGACTTCCTCCAAGGCCAGGTGTAGGCAGTGTCTGAATGATTGTGAGGGTCATTCCCAGTGCATTGTCCAGTCTGAGGTGGTCACAAGAGGGATACTCCATTATTCCAGTCAGTAGGATAAACTTGGCTTGAGTCTTACAGTGTTCTTGTGGGCAAGTAATGTGCAAGTAGTTGTACTTTTAATCTAGTACTGATTAATGGCCTCTTAAAAGTGCAGTGTTACCTAGCTCTGTCAGAAGGGAATGGAGGGCATAGCCTAGTGTGAGACTCAGTGCTTTACCTTGCACCTGACTAGGATGCTGCTTTACACTCAGGATGTGCATCCCCTCAAGGGAATCTCAGAAAAAATTACAGATATGAAACAGTGGGTGCCTGGATGAATTTTACAAGCAGAGTAGTGGTGAGGTAGGAGGCTGTCTAGCAAAATACATACTTAGACTCCAGACCTAGGGCTTTATCTTGTCAATATCAATATTCATGAGACGCTGTTCAAGTCTGGAGTTAGCAAGGCAGCTAAGGGACGGGCAATGTATTCTAGTGAGAAGGTCACTGGACTTGGAGTCAGGCCTGGGTCAGAATCATAGCTCTGCTGCTTAACTAGCAGTGTTACCTCAAGTGATCAGCACCTCTGCATCAGATTCCTTATCTATAAAATAAGGAGATTGGGCTAATCACTAAAGTCCCTTCTGACTGTATGATTCTAATTAATTTATCAAGCTAGAATTGTGGTTGAATTTCCCCCCAGTGTTTTTGCATAGTCTGTTACTGTATTGTGTTTGCTTTAGAGTAGTAGAAAGAGCCTGCACTTTAGAATTACCTTTAGTTTTGTTCAGTTGCTTACTCTGCCCCTCGTATTGTAACCTTTGTTCACTTACTAGCCATTGTCACCCTGCTGAGCTACAGTTTCCTTCTCTAGTAAAAGGAAAGGGGTTTATGTTCTAAAGGCTGTTGTGAGAATTAGAAGATAATAAATGCAATAGTATATGTAAAAGTACCTAATTCAAGAGATGTTGTGTTGCGTTGTAGGGAACAAAGGCTTCCTTCACCTCATGGTGACCTGATGCAGTATCTCTGCCAGGAGAGATTTCAGACCTGTGAGGCACTGCTCACCGCCTTTATTAAAAAGCCTGTTGGAGAATGAGAGGGATTGCTGGAGGGACAGAGACAAAACTCATTCACAACGATGTTCCCACTAGGAAAGCCAGCACATGATACCTAGAGGCTAGTTATTTGATTAATTAAGATAGCATCTTTCTTGGCTCATTGTGAGAGTTGAAATGGAGTCAAGGTAAACAAACACTATATATATGTATATCTATGTATATTAACAACATTGAAACATACATGTTTAGCTATTCCTGTAGATGGCTAGCTTAAAGGATTTTTCCTCCAAGTCAACATTCATTAGCTCAAATAATTACAAAAATAAAAATAAGCCACACATCTCACTGTTGGCTGGAGGTAATATTAACCTGGTGGCTAACACTTGAGCTTTGTAAGCAGGGAGGCTTGAGTTCAGTCCTGGTTCCCCCACTTATTAGCTCTATGACCTTTAAGTTATTTGGCCCCTCTGAGCCTCAGTTTCTCATTAGTAATATAAAGGTACTGTTTCTCATTTTACTGCATTATTGTGAAGAGACCAATGGATGTAAAACACTTGCAGATGATCAGGCATTTCATAAACCTTCAGAAGTGGTAAATATTTTGAAATTACAGTAAGTTAAATGTTTTTAAAAGTTTAGTTGTGAGATAGGATAATATGAAACTAGTGAGGAAAAAGTTTGTTTCCCTCTAAAAGAAAATTATGTAGTAACTAAAATCTTGATTGAAAACATAAAAAGAGTTTGTGTGAGTGTGTGTGTAAGTCAAAATCCATGTCTTCCATATACAGACACAACCAAGATTTTGTTTTGGTGATTTACTCAGTTTACCTGGTTAGAACTATAATGACACAATATTAAAATGAGATTTCATGTGTTCATTCACTCATCAAACATACCAAAGACATCTGTTGTTTATTCTTATAAGCAATAAGTGTATGAGTAATACAGGAGCCCTGGTGGTGCAGTGGTTAAAGTGCTTGGCTGCTAACTGAAAGGTTGGTGGTTCAAACCCACTAGCCACTTATTGGGAGAAAGATGTGGCAATCTGCTTCCATAAAGATAACAGCCTTGGAAACCCTATGGAACAGTTCTATTCTGTCCTGTAGGGTCACTATGAGTTGGAATCGACTCAACGGCAACAGTTTTTTTTTTTTTTTTTAAATGAGTAATGAATGCAAAGATGAATCAATCATGAATCCTGCATTCAGGTAGCTTATAATCTAGCTGTGGAAATAAGGTATATAAACAATTGATACAAATATAATGAAGAATAAGAAATGGTGCAAGATAGAAATGAAGTGCCAAGTGTATGAGAAAAGATCATTTCTAATTGAGAGGATCTGAGTGCTGAAGGGCCTTGGAAGTAGAGAAAACAGCGTGAACAAATGTACAACTTAAGGCTAAGAGTGAGACGTTTATTGAGAGGCATTAGAGAAATTTAAAAGGTCTAATGTGATCTATTTGTCCATGGCTCTTCCTTTAAGTCATAACACAAATGGTTCTCTTCCCCCACCCTACCCCCCAAGCCACATCACTCATTCTCTTCAGTAACTATGGCTTAATGAGGCTATCATTCTTATTTGGTAGTAGACTATGGATCAGACTCTCCTTAGAGACCTGGGGGTAGGGGTGAGGTGGAAGGAGAAGGTGCAATTTGAAAATGGACCCCTATATTCTAATATATCTCTTTACTGAGAATCACTGATTGACACTATCTCAGAAATAAATTTTCTACCCTTTTAAAATCCTGAAATACTATCAAATTGCTCACACCCAAAAGTCTAAGCCAAATGAGTCTTGCGATCTTGATGTAAGTTTGTAGTAAAGAGTGTGACTCCATTTTTTGATGTTTGAACAGCTTTCAAGAGCTACCATTCCCCCTTCCTCCTGCCACACAAGCTGAGAAGAAAGTCTGTGTGCTCTCTTTGGATGCCGAGACGAAGTTCAAACCACACAAGTCCTAGCCTGAAAATGGGAACCCTCCACCCACCTCCTCTCCCCACCTCCCCACTTCCCCACTTCCCCACCAACCACCATAAAAGCCAAGCCAGTCTCCTCTCCCTGTTCTCAAGTCATTTTAGACCTGATAGGAAGCCCCCTCTGCTCTCCCAGAAAGCTTCATTATGTAAGTAATAAACCTTTTCGTATCCTCTGGGTGTTAGTAAGGCATCATCAGTCTCAACATCTGAACCAAATTTTAGGTGTATATGGGGGGGGGGGGGCATCACACTACTGAAGGGTGACAACTCTTAGAGTTAAATATTGAAAACAACTTCCTAATATAATTAAGGCAAATTGTATAAATTTAATTTCTGAGCAACCACATG